TTATCTGTTATTTTCAATAATTAGGGGTTCGGTAGATTTGAACAATCTCACAACCACCATAAAAAAAAAAAATAGATATTTTGTGTATGAAAGCAAACTGATAAACCACCAAATTTCATTAACATTCACTTACTAATTTAAAAGTTACAGCATGAAAACTATAACAAGCACAAAATGGTTATGAGGTCAGTCCCAGGGACTGAGCCCGAGTTGAAAGAGTTAAACTGACTTGTGCCAGTTGTTGTTCCCATCTCTATCATAAGCCATCTTATTTTTCATCCCAGTTCATGTTCTTGTACCTTCTAGGAATTTCAACCACCATTTCTGCTCATTCTCCAGGAGAATATAACTATCATCACTTATGATAATATAATTGGCTGCAGTTATTGGAAACAGTTTTTTGTTGTTGTTGCTTCCTCTGGTAGAGGCTCTCCCTTACTGTTGATGAACATCAGTGTAGCAGAGGTGGTTGACAATGACTCAAAGATAGAATGGTCCTTTTATCATGGTAGCATACATTCAGACAATAGCTCATGTTGAAAACATAATGATAATTAAGACCAAAATACAGCAAAATTCAGGACAGAAAATGTCTTGTGAACTAAGCCTCTAACAAGCCAGAAGTTCAGTCAACAACAGAAGAATAATGGTTGTTACTTGCCTAATCACAACTAAATCTTTCTAGGGAAGATTCTGACACAGAACGTAAAGCAATAAAATAGGAAGAAGTATCATTTCTTTCACAGTACTATACATGTACCTTAGTCTTATACCAAAAACAATGTTTACCCAAGTACCTCTGAATGTGCTGATTTAGCTCTGTTCTTAGGTAATATCTTTCTGCACTGACAGTCTCCCTACCAAGTCATTGCCTATCAATAGCACCTCCCACATTTTACCATTGTTATATGCTCACAATGCATGAAAGATATTCCACCACTGTCTAGCTGTTGTAGCAGAACTCCAGATTTTAATAAAAAGGAAAAGTGTGTAACTATTAGTATAAGATTATTGAGTAACTAACTGTCATTCTTTACCCGGAGTAGCCAGTGAATACAATGCTCATTAACTTGCTACTGTTACAAGCTTAATATCACAGATAAAAATTCTGGTTACACTTTGTCTTCTGCTGGTCTGAGACAACTAACTGATTTTTGATTTTACTATATTCAGATACGAGTCACAAGCCTATGGATATTTGAATTATACAAACTGAGCATAAACACTCACAACCATCAATTAAAACATGTAATAAACATACAATTTAAACAGCAATGAAAGAAATAACTACATTTACAAATATTTCAATTCTAAATGCTGAACATAATATTTAAAACACCTGCTTGCACTGAATCAAAAGCACCTTTTGTATAGTTTGTTATAGAGATTATGTAGCTTCAACAAAAGGCAGTCTTTCTTTCTATATGTGATACTTGTATGAATTTGCAGATTTGAAAAGCTGGAAAGGATTTCATTGTGATAATGTTATAAGAAACAATAAAATTGCTTACCTTAGTTGAGATTACAATTGCTGATTATATTATTCTACCTTTTTGTACAGTTTTTCATAAAATTTTTATTCTATAAAATGGAAAATTTTATATATTTTTTCATTAAAAAAACTCAAACAGCTTCACTGAATTTACCATCAGTGCTGTACAATAAAATTATTGTTCCAAAATTGTTAGCTAGCTGATTTCTTTATTATTAATCAAAAATATTTTATTTGATATGTGTAATAACTTTTAAAAGTATTTAATATTCATTTAAATTACATACATTTTCTGTATTTGTTTTTGGTGACTGTCTTTACCCATTCAATCAATTATTTAGGCTGACAAGGCTTAATCTAAACACAGTCTAACAAACAGTGGCCTTCTTGGCAAAACAAAACTTGATACAGTTGAATACAAAAATTACCTAACTAAGCCTACCTCATCTTGTTCCATAAAAACATTTAGTTTCCTATTATACTGTGACTTCTTCATTCAAAAAAATTTGTACTGTAACTGTGGCAGAAGTTGCACGTATGACCAAGCTACTCTTTTATTAATTTGTTCGATTATCTACGCAATTCTCAGCTGAACTGGAAGACATAATAGGCTATAAAGTTGAAGACAAAAAAGCTTTCATTACATTCGATCACTAGCCTTTGGCTTCTCAATGCTGATATTCATAGAACAACTAGAAGTTTATTTTCTATAATTTTTTCAATTCAATATTGCAATTTTGCCCTTGGTTCAGGTTGCACTCAACCAAGTGGTATAGAGTCAAATTATCAATGAAATAATGGATAGTTTATCACATTCTTCCTTCTCATGGTCAATGTTAGTTACAAGTTTACCTCGGAGAAAACTCACAAGCTTATGAATATTTCACTTTCCAGCTAAAGTTGTTCTTAACCAATATAAACGAAAACATTGATTGCATGAGTTTGGTAAAAGCTAAAACAGTTTCAGCTGAAACATACCCTCAATATTACGACAAAATTTCTTTATTGCTGTGCTGGTTGTTTTGTTTGTGTATATAAATGTATGTAATACAAGATATACAAAAATTCATAACTTATGTATATTGTCAAATAGATAGGAACTTTTTAAGTGCTATCCTGGAAGTATTTTAGTAGTAAAAACTTTTATAATGCCACAAAAACATTATAAATGTCTATTTATTGCCAAAAGTTTTTTCTCTCTCTTTTCATATACTTGAGCATTCACAAACATTAGCTTCTGTTATATAAATTTTATTTTTTCAGGGACTTTATTCGGTAACACATATACCACCACATGGATAAAACCTAGAGCTTAGAATTACTTGGCACATGTACTTTACATAACCAAGGTACAAAATTAACAAGTGACAGGTGCCAAATGCTACTAGATATTACAATGTACATGTAAAACTTTTGAAAGATGTGTCCAAATGCCATGAAAAATACTGTTTCACACTACATAAAACCACACTTATTTCCAGTCAGTATAAGACGAAGTATATTGTACTCTGAATGTAAATCAAGTTTTAATTTTTTTTTTAATATGAATTTATGATTTCATGGCCTACAACAATTGTAAATGCAGGGTTTCATTTGCTTAAATTGTCTACTATAAATTATTTGGCTGATTTCTACTAAGTTGCCAAACAGACCACTAAATAGGATTCACATCAGTGCTGGGCATATATACATATATAGTATTAAAGCAATTTTTAGTAATTTGGGAGCTTTATATTTAATTATATTATTTATGTATTAACAATATAGGTAACCTAATGCCATACAAAAGACCTAGATGTAGGTGTTAGCAACATTGACCAAGACTTAAAAGTTGAATGTATATATTCTATGTTTGGTATCACTGCTACAGTAGAAGCACAGCTTTCTATTAGTGTATAGTTCTATTTCCACAATCCAAACTTAGATCTAGGCCTAGATCTAAAATATTTCATTACATGTCCACATCTGGCCTTAATGTGATATTTATATTTGTAACTGCTCACAAACATCCAAATATAAATCTAGCCTAACCTACTAAGATCTAGGTTTCAGCCATGTGGGCAGTATTTACTCAATGTAGAAAAATCCCTATACGTGAAGTTGGTTGTGACAATTTTGGGTTCTTGTAAATGCTCATGTACTTGAAGATAAAAAACAAAACTTAGCAATAACTTAAGACTTCATTAGTGTGTGTGATAGAGGGGTATTCTTCTGGCATCTAAAAAGTTTGACAACTGTGCCAAGATAACACTTAAAAAAATATATTTTGCACACTGATAACCAATGGTAAACAATTAGGTTGACTATCAACACTGTAGTTAAACTGCTTGCAGTTGTACAACCATCTACAAGTCAGAAAACCAAACATGAGCTGTCTTACACAAAAACAATGTAATTTTTGAAATTCAATGGCAATAGGTCCTTTAAATTATAATTCATAATTTTATTTCTATAATTTCAATTCCTGGGAAACTAAATCAAATTGTAATATACAGAAATTTTCAAACATACTTAACAACAGGCAAAAATTTGATATTCCCACCCAAACTGCAACCACTCTAATACTTAAAAACATTCACTTATGAAAATAGAAAGAAATTACATGTACCTCAAACTTGCATTTATGCTTGTCACTAACTTCTTACCTTTCAAAGAGGTAGATGTTTTCTTCTATTTGCTCGTAATAAGGGGGTTTTTCTTTACAGACTAATTCACACAATGAGTCACATGTGTCAGCACTGGAGTCTTTGGTTAATGAGCAAACAGCTGAAGTGAAAGTTTCTTTTCCACCAGTTGCCAAAACAGGTGATCTTCCATCTAAACTCTCTGAACTATAAGTGGGTGTCGATCCTCCACTAATCTCTCCCCTCTCTAATTCACTATTTCGACGCCACCGAGACTTAACTTTCTCAGGTTTTAATGTGAAATCATCAAATTTAGGAGAAACCGAAACAGATGGTCTTACAACAGCTGATGGAAGACCAAGTGAGGGATTTTTAGCTGAGGTGAATATTACTTCAGCACCCTTTTCATTTTCTGTACTTAAATCTTTACCATCTTGTTTAGAAAAATTACTCAAAATAGGTGGGAACTGCTGTTCCATTGGAACAGTACCAGTCTCTCTTATTTCATCAGAATCTTTTACATCTTTTTCTGTTTCACATAACTCTGAATTGTCACTCTGGAGGTCAACCACACTTGCAATTTCTTGCTTAAAACCATCTTTGGAATGATTTTCTGTCAATTCTGCATTAAACTCAAGATCCTTCTTTGAAATTGATAACTGGTTATCTTGTTCTTCATAATTTAAGACTTCATGTACTAATGTCTCAGAATCTTTATTTGACACATCAAGAGAAATTTCCTGTTGTGTTTCATTGGTTAGAACACTATCACATACAGTGTCCATTCTGGTGGTCTCAGGTTCATTCACTAGAACTTCCTCTGATCTACTTGTTTGAACAGTGTCATTTTCTTGAGTAATAATTTTAGTCTCTAATTTTTCTTTCTTCAGATTTCTATTCTGCTGATTTTTGGAATTTTTTTGTTTCTTTTCCTGTTTCTCATTTTCATCTTTTCCTTTATGAGATGTTTTCACAGTTACCTCTTTTTGAGCTTTAACTTTTTCTGCTTTTTCCTTTACTTTTCTTTCTTCAATGGAACGAATCCTACTACTCCGTCGGCGACATGGAGTTTCTTCCATAATGTCCTTAAATGCTTCATTGTCACATTGCTGATCAGAATTTCTTCTGGCCTGCTGTTGAGTATCACTGAATACCATCTTCTCTGGCTCTGGACAGACACTTGAAAGATCTTCTGTCATACAAATTGTTCTCTCTCCATCTAAGTCTTCCTGAACTAATGAACTGTTCTGCTTTTCAGAGTTATTATCATCTTTAATCAGTTCTGTAGACTGTGACGTATTCTCTGTTTCAAATACTGTTTTCAAACCACTTGTCTGAATACTCGAACTTGAAACTAAAACGTTTCCTTCATTATTACCTGAAACAAATATAGAACTATACAAATTACTGCTTTCAACATCCTCCTCATCCAAAGTTTGGTCTCTAAGAGAAATGTCAGTTTCTGAAGCTTTAGTAACTGTCCTTGTATTCTCATTAATATTTGCAGTTTTGATTTCCTCTTCCACTCCTTTAAAGGGGAAAACTTGGATATTCAAAGTAGCATTCTCCTTCTGAAGCTCAATATCATTTATAATTACTTCAGTTTGATATTCTAATGTGTTGTGTTTAGTTAACTGCACAAAATTACCAACTCCAGATGAACAACCACTTTCAGTAACTTCCTCTGATCCACATGCAGCTGAACTCTTACCACTTGCTAGAAGTAGATTTTCTTCTTTTAAAAGTTCATCAGTTAGAGAATTATTTAAATTATTAAAAGCAGCTAAAATCACTTGCTCATTTTCATTTTGTTTCTGTTCAGCCACTAAGGAAGTTTCATTCATCTCTGAAGAGATTGTTTCTGTGCTCCTGGTCAGATAAGTGGTTGAAACTTGTTCCTCTTCCTCATCCCTGCAATATAATCATGAATACATTAATATATATTCTATTATGAAACATCTTTTAGTTTTTTCAGTGTATATAAATACTCAATTCCATAACAATGTTTGTTTTGAATTTCGCGAAAAGCTACACGAGGGATATCTGCGCTAGCCGTCCCTAATTTAGCAGTGTAAGAGTAGATGGAAGGCAGCTAGTCATCATCAGTTACCGCCAACTCTTGGGCTACTCTTTTACCAGTGAATAGTGGGATTGACTGTCACATTATAACACCCCCTACGGCTGAAAGGGCGAGCATGTTTGGTGGGACAGGGATTCAAACCCGCGACCCACAGATAACGAGTTGAGTTCTCTAACCACCTGGTCATGCCAGGCCTCCATAACAATGAAACTATATACATGTACTGACAACTACAATGTACTTTTATTCTTTCACTTTTGTTGTTGATGTTCACAGTAACATTTTTAAATATACATGACATTACAAAATAGTTTGTTGCCCATACCATTGGTGTTCATTCAGGTTAACTAAAAATTAAGACATTTTTTCAGTAAATATTATGCAATTACAAAATAACGTATACATTAAACAAGGTTATCTAATAGCAACTTAATAACCTGCAATGTGACTTAGCAAAAAAAAAAAAAAGAGTACCTTTATAGACAAAAAAATAATATTCTTAAAACTCAAAATTAAAAGTAAGCCAATTATATATCTCAAAACTAAAATAACTTGAAAATGACATACAAATGAAAACAATCTGATATAATTAATTGTTTGTTCCAGCTTTGGCATCAGGATACATAAGGGCTATCTGAGCAAGCAGTCTCTAATTTTCAATTAACAGACTGGAGGGAAGGCAGCTAGTCAACAGCACCCATTGTTAACTCTTCAGCTATTTTAACAAGATTTAACCATTACACTCATACCTCACCCTTGGTCCCAAAGTTTGAGTAGTTTCATGGCAATGGGACACAAACCAGACCCAACAAGTTATAGTTCAGCATACTAACCACTAGGCCACATCCAGTGCCTGACATAATAAACAAACTTAGTGTTATATAACTGTACACAAGAAAACTAAAATCTGTAATGATTGTAGTGGGCTAGGAGATTTGTGTAATTTGCTTAATTATTAGTCATTGGGCTTATTAATGTATTACAATCAACTACTTTTGACATGAAACTTTGATAGTTGGAGTAATCAAATATTTTAACAATTAGAAACATTAATTTTAATTAGATGATTATTTTTGTGAATCATGAAAGTAATTAATTAAGTGCAGCAACCTTGAATTAATCTAAAATAATGATGAGAAATCATAATGGAAATATTTTTATTACTTGCAAGTAAGAATAATTGAAAACATCAATTACTTATTATTTTCTTGACACTAATTGGTGTAAATGATGCTCATTTGTAATTGGTTATATTCATTAATAGAGTTGATTCCCCATTTTTATTAGACTACACTTAATCATCATTTGGGTTCCCTCACCAACATTCAGTAATTCCAAGAGTCATTTATTGGAAAATTTTTATAGAATACAAAATTGATACACTTGATTTTCCTAATTTTAATGCACATCAGTTCAATAGACATCCAGAATAGGTTATTCACAAAGCATACAAATCAGTGTTGTGAAGTATGAATGAATTTTATGAAGAATATTAAAATAATGTTCAATATTTATGTCTATTAACACAAAATAAAGCATTAAATTACTAAAACTGTTAAAATATCTTGAAGCTTCTGAAAAAAAAAAGTTTTTTAATTTAATTTTATAAAAAAGATAACTGGCACAAAAATTTTTAAAAGTGTTATTGCCTCAAAACCATTAATTTTCTCTTTATATTTAAAGAAATTACTAATGGTATTGAAGAAATTAATAACAGTTCTTTACTTATTTTACAGTATTTGTTTACAGACTCTTTAATATACACGAGACCTTTACCAACTAGATTTTACAAATCATTAATCATATCTTCTTCAGCACTGCCTATAAAGTTTGAATCTGTATGGTATTTAAGAAATTTGGAACTCCAAAATACTTTGGGTATTATATCATTACATTTTTTTCCCCATAAGGGTACCAAAATCTCATAACACACAAGTTTCTGTATCAAACTCAGTAACAAGTTATATATCTCATAAATTGGAGCTATTCATGTTTCTAGATTAAACCCTAGATTTTTACATAAAATTACAGTATAAATATTTTATGAATGCAAAATATATAAACAAATTGCTGACAGCTTGATCAGTGGGTAAGAGGAGATGGATTCTAAATGTTCAGTAATGTCTTTTTGTCACAGCTTCTGCATAGGTACTAATATTCTCTTACACATTTATGGACTTCACCATAATCTTTTCATATTTTATAAACTTGCTTATTTTTAAGTTTTCTTTTTTACACCATTTATGTAAATCATTTTTTAACGGCTTTACCAATAGCTTGGTTTGTATGACTCCAGTTAATTCTAGTACATTTCCAAATTTTAAGACCTTTGCTCTTTAATCACCATAAACTATTATTGCCTAACATAACAGTGTTATCAATGAGTACACACTCAATGAAAGAATTCACAATCAGGCAGTAAAAACTTGTTACTCTTCCTCAGTGATTCAATCAAAGATTGTTATAAATTTTAAGTTTCTACAGCCTACAGTCTTCTTACAAGAATAGCTAAACGTATGTGTTTAATTTTGTAAGTTTTTGGCAATAACTTATGTATAGAGACATGTATCTATAAGTTATAATTTAACAAGCTCCATGCTTCTGTCAATAAAGAAACCAATTAACTAAACCTTATCTTTACACTTGTTGCTTATTGTTTAAGAAAGTTGAACTTTTGACAAATACATATAGCAAGTTACAGCTGTACATTGCTCAAACCTCTGAATAGGTAATTTGGTTGATAAGTAAAAAGTTTTACAGAATTCATCAAATGATGTTTTTAAAGAATAATGTATTGACATATTATAGGATCTAAATCTATTTATAAAAAAAAGTTCCATTAAATTTAAATAATTACAAAACTTATATATTCAATTAATGTGCTTGCAAAAACAAGGTATTTTTTGTTAGCTTACATATACAAAAGCAATATTTTCTGGTAATTCAATTCTTTAACACGTGCCACACGAGCCAGCCCAATATTTTTTTTGGTGCTGAGTCTAGGATGCTCAACAAAGAAGGAGGGGTCATTCCTGATACCAGTGATTTAAGGTTATTTCAAGAGATCCTGATGAATCAAGCTTAGCACAGCTTCTAAAATGAAAAACTAAATATTAATGAAATATGACATGATGAAATTATATGGTAGTACAATACTGAACATTATAGCATCCTTCTTATATTTACTCTTCATTGCAGAAATGGCATTTTTAATTTGAGAATCACTAAGGAAATCATCCTGTAACACATCAAGCTTCTGCTTCAACTTTCATTGCATCTTTGGGCATTACTGTGCAGTTAGTTTCACAAAATATAGAAACTAATGATTTCTTATATACATGATTCCAATCCCCCTTTTTGAAGATAAGAATACTATATTGCCTATTTTTTTATAAGTTTTGCTGTCAATGCAGTAGTCAATTGATGAATCTCTGATTCAGCTGGTATATCAAATCAATTGGGATATCTTCGAATAAGTTCTTCTTTACATTTACAAGTTAACTTCTCCATATTGATTTTCATGATTTCAGGTCAGGTCACAGGTTTGGTCCAGCAATCTAAACTTCAAAAATAGTGCCAAATGTCTTCTTTTTTGTCTGATCAAACATTTCTGGAATGATTTTTTTTTTTATACACATCAGGATGCCAAGTTAAATCGTGTAGCAAGTATTCAAAAAGTTGCTGAGTAAAATATTAAAGTATACCAAATAAATAAATTGTACACTAACATGCCTAAAATTTCATATATAACTACTGGAGTATCTTTAAGACAATACAAGTTCTATTTGAAAATAGCTGTAAAGCAAAATACACTCAAATATTGGTCATGTTTATATAGATTTTTACAAATATCCCAAAAAAAAACACAAATATTAACCACTATTATTTATAAAAGTGATTCATATTTGAAAAAAGGCAAGTGAGCAAAGTTTCACACTTCTGAAACTTTTGTAAGTGTATGATTGCATCCCTTAAAACTTGACCTACACTGTAAGCTAAAGGCAGTCGGAAAATGACATCCCTTCTGACAAATTTAGCTGTGTGAGGGTGAACAAACACAACCACACTCCTCAGAAATTAAGCAATGTTGTAAATGATAAAATCTTAGTCAAACTCTCATGAACAATATTCATCCTTTGCACATCAACAAAAATTAGAACACATCTATTTCTCTACTATTTTCTTGCATTTACAAAGAATTCTGAAAGACATATCACAATCATTATACAAGAACATGCACTCAGTGACAAATTACAAGTCAGCTCTTAAACATCACTACTCTCCAAACCATAAAACTCATCATAAGCAAAATGTAGCTATGCCATTCTACAAAATATTACAATGAATATAAACAAGCAACACACACAGGTAAATGTTTGTAGCTCTTGCAGATTAATAGTTTTTACATAAAAACAAGTCCAGATCTGGATTTCCAAAGCTTATACTTATTACCCCTAATATTTAAGACTCTACTTCTAACCTTATCACTCCATCAGTCAAACAGAATTAACATGGGAAATTTATCTAATCCCTGAAACTTTAAAGATGACTCCTTATGCTTCTCTCCCTATCTCACCATTCTCAAGCACGTATCATTCTAGAAGTCCTTCTGTGCACCTTTTAAAGCATGCCAATATCCTTTCTATAATAAGAACAAAATTGAACACAAGATTTTAAAAGACGTTTTCACTTGCCTTATACAAGAAAACAACCATCTTACTCTAAAAAAACATTTCTATGAATAATCAAAAGTCACATTAAAAGAAAAAAATACTGTTAAGGCATGAATGCACAAGTAACCAAAAATTACATATACATATCTTCTGTTTAG